TCTGCTGGGGTAATAATATAGTGTAAAGCGCATAGAGCCTGCTGCTGAGCGGGGATATGCGCTATACAAATGCTATCTATTATTATTATTATTACTAAAGACGTGGAAGGGGGGCCTAATGTTCCCAGTTTATGGCTCTCTAGAGAGCGAACACTTCAAGAGGCATGTAGCACAAGATGCACGTACAATTTACAACAATAAGGAAGAAAGAGATGTTGCTCTTATAACATTAAAATGGACATGTAGGCTTTGGACTTAAGTGAAAAATGGAAGGTAAAAATAGCCACTTGTAGAGTAAGGTAAACTCTATCAAAGAACTTCACCAGAAGGGTGACTGTGAAAAAGCAGGGAAATGTTGTTGTTTTGGTTGTTTTTTTACATCCGACGAGAAAAATAAGTGATTACATATACCATACCATACCATACCATACCATACCATACCATACCATACCATACCATACCATAATATAACATACAACCATAGCATAACATAACGTACCATACCATACCATACCATACCATACCACATCGTGCCATGCCATGTCTTGCCATACCATGCCATACCACGCGTACCATACCATACCTCACACACACACACACACACACACACACACACACACACACACACACACACACACACACACACACACACACACACACACACACACACACATCTACTTACTCAGTAGCATCTGGCACCAGTCTCACCAGCATCTTGACAAAGTCGTTAACATCATAATTCTTCTCCTCTTCAGTGTGCGCCTCAAAAGCATCGTCGAAGAAGATATGAGCTGGAACAGACAATTAATAATTGATTGCAACATGTTTCAATTATTGGAACACTATTTACGCCTCGTTTATGCAATTGGGGTAATATAGTAAGGGGTCTGCTACGGCGCTACATACCATGATCACAACTGGTTGTGAAAAATTACACACACCACACAGGAAAGAATATTATAATAATACGTGTACTTGGTTAGCAATGCACCAAATCTGGGCTTCGAGCTCACCTATTCTTCGTGAAAACTGAACGAAGAGTTAAAGAATTGAAACCCAAGTTGTTGTCTTTTCTAGGCCTGATTAGTTGCAGGGAGACGAGAAAATACTGTAATGATGTCATTATGGTTTAGACCTGTCTTACTTCACTAGTAAGCTGGATCAAATTTGATAATAATATGATCACCGTTTTTAACACCTGCCAATCTCTTAGCCTTTTAAGAGGTAATTCATTTCAGGAAGATGGGACCAAATCCGTATTTATCGTTTACGTTCCTGAAACGCAGTGTTACCGAATCTAAATCCACACACAACGTTGGTTCTCTAATACTTCAAAAGACACTCTTCACTTGTAATGATATTCCTTCCTTTCAAAAGACCCACCAACTGTTCTTCAATCAACGTTTTGGTAACAGCGTTTAAGACACATAATGCATTTTGCTTTTGCCAACATTTTCGTCAACATTAGCGAAGGAGATTGGCGCTCAAATTACAATGTCTGTACGTCTGGATTCAAATTCCCTCTTTACGAATATGGGCAATAATAGTGAATCTTTCTGACGGAGAGAGAATATTCTCTAAAAAGCTAAAATTAATTATTCCACAGGAGACGGTTTCAGATATTACCACTATGCTTATGCTTTATTTGTTATAGAACTCTCTCTTTCTCATTGTCCTTCTCACTCTCTACGTTTGCAATATAGAGAGAAAGAAAGAGAGAGGGGGGGCGGGAAAGAGAGAGAGGGGGGGCTAAAGAGAGAAAGAGGAAAGAGAGAGAGAGAGACGAAGGAGAGAGAGAGAGATAGAGAGAGAGAGAGACAGAGACAGAGAGAGGAGAGAGGTAGGAGAAGAGAGGAGGACGGTGAGCTGAGCATCGTAGCGTGAAATTGCACTACTGATTGAAATGCAAAGTATGTCCGTAAAATCAAATAGTTCAGGAATTACCAGTACGAACTAAACATGATTTGGTTCCTTCACCCAGAGAAAAGATTCTTTGTCGTCAATAGAAATCGTTTAATGGCCCACCTAAGCTTTCCCGCTCTCTTTTCACATAATGCACAAAGCCACGACTTGCATGCCCTATAAGCAGAAATCCCCTCAGGGTGCACTTTGTACAATTTTGATCAAACACTCCAATAACATTTTAAGTATGTTTGACTCTTTCAGTATCGGACCATGCGTTTGTCCATCTGGCACCGACAAGCATGGAGTAAATATGGCCTTAGGGACCGTTTTAATTTCTCAAGCAGAGGTAAGAAATTAAGTTGCATTTTTTGGTCAAATTGGGACCTTTTGTGCCTACAACTCAATCATTTCATTTACATAACTTTTTAAATTTTCAGTTTCCTCAGTTTATGTAAGCTCAGTGTTTATAATTTAACAAAAGACCAAAAGGAGTCATCTTCATAATAGTATACAGTGGACAGACAACACTACTTGATAGTTGTCTACAAGTTCTGAGAGAACGCAGCAGAGTGGAGACATGAGCTAAAGATATTATCCGTATGTTCGCGAAGATTCAGTGATTGGAAACTCGCTAACTAAACACGATATGTGCCTCAAACTGTTATTAATAATTTCCTCAAAATGAACACTGTTTTGTATTTTGTTATGTGTACTGTTGTAGGATCACACGATCAAAGATGGCTCTGGGGGTGGGGGGGAGGGGGGGGGCTCTAGAGGATAGGTTAAGGTGTTTGCCTCTCGTTCAAAGGTCCCGGGTTCGAATCCGGGTAGCGACAGAAAAATTTTCTACTCTTAAATTGTCTCCTTTCACCTCGTTTCCTGCTCTCTAGCAATGTTCTGTCGTCTGCTTTCGTCCTCACTTTCTGCCCCCACCCGCTCACCTCCTTTGCCCCTTTCTCTGGGCTCCTGACTCTCCTGCAGCCTTTCTACTGCTACTCCTTAGCTCCTACTTACTGCTGTCTTTCAGCTTACCCCTTATCTTCTGGTAGGAAAGAGCTACACCTAGCCTTCTCGGACAAGGGCAAAAAATCTCGGGTGTCCCGTGTGCAATTTGCGCACGTTAAAGATCCCATGGTGGTCTAGAATCGATACGAGTAGGCATTGGCCACCACCCGGGCAAAATTCAAAATTTCCTACCAACTTAAAATGTTTGATGTGCCCCGCACGCTCATATGACCTTATGCAGTTGCGAGCGCCGTAAAACACTTACCAAAAGAAAAAAAAAATCTGACTCTTTTTGGCCTCCTGAAATACACTATTTTGAGAAAGGTACAACACTGTCTTTATATTTTCGTTTACGGAGAGCGTTACATAATTGCTGTGTACGGGACTAAGTATTCTTTTGTTGTTTTTTTGTTTTTGTAAAGTGTTTTACGGCCCTCGCAACTGCATAAGGTCATATGAGCGCGCGGGACACACCTATATTGGGACATATTTTCAGTTGGTAGGAAATTTGGAATTTTGCCCGGGTGGCCTAAGTATTCTGGTTTCGCTTAAAGCAATACATCGAAAGAAGTGAAATGAATAGTGTTCACAGTAATTCAATTGCTTTGGCCTTTTATATTGTATTTTGTTATTTTTCTCTCTCACGTGTATTTCAGCAATACAAATAGATGTCAATTTGTAGGTAGCCTAGTGGTTAGGCTACCGGACTCGTAATTCGCGAGATTGCGGGTTCGGGGGCTCGAGCCTCAGCTCGGTCCGACGTTGTGTCCTTGGGAAAGGCACTTTACACGAACTTCTCACTTGGCTCGGTTCTATCGGAGACGGACGTGAAACTAGGAGATCCCGCCCCTTAAATAACCTAATAGTGTTGATAGGGGCGTTAAACTAATACTATTTTCACTATTTTTTTTTTTCAATTGTACTTTGATACCTTCATTTCAATAATGCTGTTCATGGATTGCAAGCAAGTAATTTAAAAGTAGAACTCAGTGTTACAGGAAATGAAAATGAGTCTGAGAAAGATTGTGTAGTCTATGGACACACTATTGAACAAACAGCAGAAATACACAGAGCAATGGATAAGCTCATAAACAGAATCATTGGAGGTATATGTTTCTTTTTTTTGTGGGGTTACACACATTGAAACAGTATTCGTTCTATAAATGCACATCGCCAAGTATGGATGTCCTTCCTGCTGAAAATGGCATCTATAGTGACATTTCCTCGTCAACAGTTTTGCTCTCAATACCTCGCGCCACTCAAGCATGTACTTTCTGTATGGCACTTATACTGACGCTTGCACGTGTGCGTTGACCTTATCGAATTACAAGCAGCTCCCGGGCCAAAACCAAAGTCTCTACGCACACAAGAAAGCAAAATTGTGACCTATGGACTCTTGATATGTCTTTGAGGCTTATGGTGACGCTGTGGCACGCCTAAAGACTATGCCACTTGACTTCCAAAAAGGGCCTGTCGCTACCGCCATCTGCTTTCTATCCTGTGTCAGCCTCCTTTTCATCACAAACACGGCGGACAAACTGCACATCTACGCTCGCTTAGCAACTGCTTACGGACATTTTAAAAATGTGGGAGGCTGCCTCTGACGTCATAGAAGAGGACGTATTCCTTAGGGCAGATGGAAAGTTAATGTCTAAAGAGGAACGGGCCATTGCCTTCCTTCCTAGACAACCTGGTAACTGTCGGAATGAGGATTGTACAGAGATAGATGTACACAGACTCGAACTCAATGACATTTATTGCTCTAGGCATCAGGCATACGCCTGTGAGAAAGATATTCCTTACTATATGAAATCTCAGGATTCCACTTTGCCTGAAAAAGCTCTATATACTTTTCATTGCCACTTCCCGGGTTAACTGATTCTATATGCTTTGTTCTGTTCCAGCTTACTTCACTTGTTTCTTTTACCTGGCTGTAAGATTTACACCCCTCCCACATACTGCCATAGACACCCTTCTCGGAATGTACAGAAAATCTTCTTCTTCTTCTACTTTCTTCCCCAACCAAAATGGCAAACAAGATAGAAGCACAACGTTCTGTTTAATCTTCTCAGATCTTTGCATGGGGATCTAAAAATATCGGATGACCAACGGAATCTGATAGTCCATTAATGAAAGTCACTGCAAACTAAGCCCCCCACACACATTCTCTGCTGTAAGCCTAAAGCGGGTAAAAATTAAAGAGGGTTTACAGTATACACCTTCAAATAACAATTTACCTATTCTTATTAACACAATACTTTAGCGAATGGCTATGAAACATTGTCCAATAGGCGGGCAAGTATTTTTCGAGACTCACGTTGAAGCGTTTTGACGTTCTGTGGGGTGGGGGGACAAGCTTACACTGAAATGTGAGGGCAGGGTGTTGACGCTGTCTGAAAATGAGCAATGTGCAGATTAAGATACCGTAACTCATTTACTGCTGTATTCCTTTGTACGTACCTAAACACCAATGTTTAATATAGGACCAAAATAAGGAAAGTTTTATTGTAGGGAAAAAAAGAAGTTTTGTTTTGTGGATAGCCTTCATGACCCTCATGCAAAGTTTCCTAGTCAATAAAAAAGATAAGCAATACTTTTTTATGGTGGACAGACGAACGTGAACTCTGGCTATTGCTAGCGCTCTCTCTCTCTCTCTCTCTCTCTCTCTCTCATTCTCTCTCTCTCTCTCAGTCCAACTCTCTCTGTTTGTCTGTCTGTCTGTTTGTCTGCCTGTCTGTCTGTCTGTCTGTCTGTCTGTCTGTTTGTCTGTCTGTCTGTCTTTCTCTATCTATCTATCTATCTATCTATCTATCTATCTATCTATCTATCTATCTATCTATATATCTGTCTATCTATCCATCTATCTATCTATCTATCTATC